CGTCTCGCACCGGGAGGCCCCCTGACCCAACATCTCCCACGGGGAGGCCCCCTGACCCAACATCTACCACGGGGAGGCCACCTGACCCAACATCTACAACGGGGAGGCCACCTGACCCAACATCTACAACGGGGAGGCCACCTGACCCAACATCTACCACGGGGAGGCCACCTGACCCAACATCTACCACTGGAATCCCAAAACTATGTGGATGTCCCGCCAGGGACAAATACTGTCAGTGCTTCAGCTTACAAAGACGTTTTAGCTCATTTTGTGTTTCCAACATTGTGGTAACAGTTTGGTGAAGGCCCTTTTTGACCAATGCATGGCTTGACTAGTTTGGTGTGAAGGAACTCGAGTGGCCTACACCGAGCTCTGCCCCTAACCCTACTGAACACCATTGTGGTGGTGAACGCCAATCAAGAGCCAGGTCCTCTTCTCCATCGGTAACTCACCTCGCTAATGCTGTCTTGGCCGAATGGGCACAAATTTCTAAAGAAACACTCAAAAATCTTGTGGAAAGCCTTCCAGAAAAATTCAAGGATGTCAAAGTTGCAAAAGGCCGACTTCGTAATAATGCCCGTAGTTTCAGAATAAGATGTACAACAAGCCCATACTGGCGTAATGGTGAGAATTCTAAAAACATTTGGCTGCACTCTATATGGCCGAAGGTTTTTTGGACACCTGACCGACATCTACCACTATAAGCTTACAAAGACATTGTAGAAAATGTTGTGCTTCCAAATGTGCGGCAACAGTTTGGTGAAGGCCCTGTGTGCCAACTCCATGGCTTGAGTAGTTTGGTGTGAAGGAACTTAACCAGTTTGGAGTGAAGGAACTCGAGTGGCCTGCACAGAACCCTAACCCTACTGAACACCACTGCGGTGAATTGGAACGCCAATCAAGAGCCAAGTCTTCTTCTCCAACATCAGTAGCTCACCTCACAAATGCGGATTTGGCTGAATGGGCACAAATCTCAAAAGACAGAATCTTGTGGAAAGCCTTCCTGGAGGAGGCCAGGGTGCTATAGTTGCAAAGGGCCAACTCCATAATAATGCCGTCGTTTTAGAATAGGATGTCCAACAAGCCCATATCGGTCTAATGGTCAGACTTCCGAAAACATTTGGCTACAGTAAACTATATTGCCGAAGGGTTTTGTTGTATGTTCTGCTTCCAACTTTGTGGCAACAGTTAGGGCCTTCTCCATTTTGGCAACTCCATAAGGACATGGTTTGACAAGCTGGCACGGGGGGGGGGGGGGGGGGGACACCCATAAAAATTTACTGAAAGTAGACAAGAACCAATGAAACTCTTGTTCATTTTCAGAAATAGACAATGATACAATAAACAGTTAGATACCTGTGTACATTTGTGCTTAATAAATGATTGTACTGTGGTGATGGGATTTTTAACCTTAAAATCCATTTACTAGAGTCCATTGAGGGATAGGAATTCAGAGACAGTCAGGTTATACTGCTGCCTACTGGAGGATTGGACATTGGCAAACAGAAAAAATCATAAGCCAACCCCCCGGTATAACCCCTCCTCTACCCAACATGTCTCAGTTTTGTAGTAAAACAATACTAATGGCATGAACAAAAACACAATAGACTCCAAGAAATGAATTTTATGGTAAGTACAACAATCCCATTTTCTCTCTCGCCCATTGAAGAACACCGTAAGTCAGATACAGTCGGGACGTTCAAAAGCAGTTCAACTGAGGGATGTAAAAAAAAATGCCAAAAAACAATAAGAAGCCTCATTATGAGGACTGGGGACCACCTGCATCCCAGGAGCTGCCAGTGCCCAGGTCTGAGTGGATGAGGCAGGGCCCCCTCACTATTAAGGAGAACTTGCCAAGGGGAGTTCCAAAGAGGTTCCCACCGCACTCCTTACTGGTATGTCCCTTTTTAAAGTGGGTGCTGCAGTGATAGTGGATGGCGCCACTTCAAATCCAAATAGTAAAGTATATCACCGGCACACCAAAGTAAAATCTTCAACGCGTGGTATTTTTATTGATGTACACACATCTCGTCATAAAGCAACGTTTCGGGGCCACTCAGGGCCCCTTCATCAGGCATGACAATGTGTTATGAGGGGACTTGCCAAGGGGAGAGCACAGACGATCAATTTAATGTTCAGACCAAGATGGAAAAAGATGGCACCAGAGAGGAATGACTCCACACAAAGGGAATAACCAGACCCCACCTATAATAGGTGGAATAGGTAGAAAAATTATCTACCAAAGAGGGGAAAATGGGCCAACAACCTGGTGTAGCCAATCAAAAAACAAAACACTTGGGGAAAACCCCCAGATGAGCAGATCCCAAGAGGAACCTAGCATGAAAAAACAGGCAAGAAAAGACCAGCTGGCCAGAGACCTACTGGTCTCCCCTCTAAGACTTAGCTGGCCAGAGACCTAGCGGTCTCCAACCCTAAGGGGATAATACTTCTTGACCAAAGGAGGCTGCGTAGCCAGACAGCCCCAGTATAAGCAAGCTACACCAGAAAATGTAATTTAAAACTACAACCCTATAGCCAACAAGGGCTTGAGAAGACCCCAGAGCCCACTTAGAATGAAAAGGTGCCCAGCAGCGCGGCTAGAGAGGTATCTTCTGGTGCTGTAGCCTGGCCAGACTTTCTCTGTGTTTTCAGAGACAGGGTCGCACCTGGGGCTGTGCCGTGGCTGTGGAGAAGTACACTCAGGTCTGCAAAGCACCACATGTCGGAGCCAAGTGCATGAAGATCAAATTCCAGACTAGTCCAGCAGTCTCCGGGCATGGCCTCCAAAGCTAGGCTGATCCAGATAACTGCTCTGTAGAGACCAACTGAAGCAATGATGGAGATGTGGAGAGATCTTGACTGAAGTTGATGGGAGAGGAATTGTCTATTGTGGACGAGAAAGAAAATACTTGCAATGATCTACCTGAGCTCAGTTGACTTGTGTATCTAATATTTATCCGGTGGTGAAAAGGGTTTACCTCTACATAAGTAAGCAGACTGTGAAATCCAATATACTTTCCGACATTCTCTTAACTGCTTTTTGTGTTTGGACTTCGAGGTGTAGGAGATGAACTTCGAGGTGTAGGAGATGGACTTTGAGGTGTAGGAGATGGGCTTTGAGGTGTAGGAGATGGACTTCGAGGTGTAGAAGATAGACTTCGAGGTGTAGGAGATGGGCTTCGAGGTGTAGGAGATGGACTTCAAGGTGCAGGAGGTGGACTTCAAGGTGTAGGAGATGGACTTCGAGGTGTAGGAGATGGACTTCGAGGTGTAGAAGATGGACTTCGAGGTGTAGGAGATGGGCTTCGAGGTGTAGGAGATGGACTTCAAGGTGCAGGAGGTGGACTTCAAGGTGTAGGAGATGGACTTCGAGGTGTAGGAGATGGACTTCGAGGTGTAGGAGATGAACTTCGAGGGGCAGGAGATGGACTTCACGGTGTAGCTGGACTTCACGTGATCCATCCATTCAAAGCCAATCTCCAGGTTTTAAGCCCTTCTACACCCCATCTTCACTGAAGGTCCACCTCTTAAATCCTGCAGTCTTCTGGCTGGTCTGGTCATGTCATGGCTCCTTCCTCTTCCTTGACAGTAGGGGCGGGTGGTCCTTACTCTGGGATACCATAATGTTCATGTAATAACTTGTGAGTGCTCTTTTGTCGAGGGGCACTGTGAGCTCAGTCTGCCGTGATGGTGCACCTCAGGTGCTTTGCCTATGATGGCCTGGACTCGAAGTGGGTTGGAAGACTCCAACGTAGACTTAAAATAAAACCTAAAATCCCCTATTCAGCAGCACTTAGCTTGGGAGAGGGGTGGCCAACATTAGGAGCCAATCGGGTGTGAAACATAACCTCATCAATCTACTGCTTCTCCTTCCAGTGGTGACCAAGCTGTGTTGCTTAACTGCAGAAAACTAGCGAAAAGTGAGCTACTTGCCTGAGCTGTGCGAATCTCAGGACTGGAGAAAAATACAAATCCTTGCAGGTAACTAAACCAGCTCCCATAAATCTATTCCAACTTTGTGTTGACTTGTTGGCCTGGAACGTTACCCCTCCACAATGGTCTCTGCCCTTTTGGCAGCAACAGCGTAATGTCCCTATTACAGTAGTATACACTGACTCTAGTGCCAGTTGTATGTTAGGCAAGCTCCGGCTCTCCAGCTGTGCTGGAACTACAAATATCATCATGCATCTGCTTCTGGGAGTCATGCCTATGGCTATCAGAGTCTTGCAATGCCTAATAGGAATTGTAGTCCCACCCCAGAGGGTCGGTTTGCCTACCCCTGTTCTAGATGGGTAACCAACTAGTATATTTTTACTTGTGTGAGATAACTGAGAGGAAACCCAGAAAAACTT